TAAACAGGAGCTTTACCTAATTTATTGGTTCTCATTATATCTGGCATGTAGAAGCTGAATTCCCCTCTGCTTGGAAATTTCCCCATCTGCCTGGAAAATGACCTTTTCTGCTCTGCAAATCAGTCTAGCAGAAGGGACATAGCTGATTAATATAATAGAAAAATTACTTCACTTGTTACTGACAAAATTGTCATGATTTTGACCCATTTTTCAAATTAGTTAACATTTGCTTCCTTTCTCGTGTTTCATGCATAATTCATTTGGATTCTCACCATACTTTCGCTGTGCTTCCTGAGTGAGGCTGTTTTGTATAGTCACTCTTAAGAGCAATAGTAACACAACATTTGTCAAAGTGTCATAGTGAACAATGAAACCTCATTATATGTCACTCAGAGAGCTGAATGAAAAGTGATGCTACACCTAGGCAATTGTATACCTAAATCACGGAAGGTGAAAGATGGAAAACAAGTTTTCATTGCTTTGATTATATTTTGGTTTGATTTGTTCTCTGAAAGCTCTCACATAAGTTCAGTGTTAATATTCTTGGTTTTGATCCTGCTCTGCTGGAGTTAGCGGGAATTTCACCAGTGATTTCACTGGGAACAGAAATAAAGTCCAAGTGAATGAAATTACTCACGTGTAAGAGTCTGCAAGATAAGATCCTCTAGGGCAGAGACTGTCAGTCCTTTTTGCACTGCACAGCACTGAAGATACTCTTCATGCTAGACCAAAAAGAGTTGAATGCCACATGCTGTATGAATACAGCAGTCCCTTCAGAATAAGAGGTCATTACTCAAGTAGGAAAAATGGGCAGTATGAACACTTCATTTTGACTACTCAAGTGTACATTGGAAGTTATAACTTCTAATACCAAAAAAGATACTGAACATTTGCACCCTATCTTTGGACAAATGGCTTTTTCTGTGAGTCTTTCCATTTCACCTTGTCTAACTACTCTATGACTTTTTATTATGAATGGGATTCTTTGCTACATTGCTACTAAACCAATCCTGAAGAGAAGCAAAAATAATTTCATCCATATATTGATTATATCCTAAGTATTCAAACTCCATGCACTAACACCTCTTTTCTCAAAGTTAAAATTTCTCACTTTCCATCAAATCCAGCTCTTCAACAGAAGAATGGGCAGAATCAAATGTTCATTGTTAATATACAACATTCAACAGCAAAGTAGGCAATATAAACTAGCCTTTCGTAAGTGAGAATATCCTCATCCTGGAGTGAAGAAGAGAAGCAGCATCTTTCCTTAGAGCACAAGTTACTTGTATGGGTGTGGGGTCAATCAAGGCTTCCCAGTGGCATAAATTGTTTGCATATAACAGTTTCAGTAGAAAAGTTTTGTGTGATCACATACACTAAAAAACTCCAGGAGTTAATCCAAGGATGACAATGTAAAAACATAAGCATAAGCTTTACCATGTCGCTATGCAGCCACACTGTCAGTCATTGTCAAAATTATCGAGCGTAGCAGCATATCACATCTTTTCCTGTCAAAATGTTCCCTCTGACAAAGGTCAGTGCCTTCATGACATAAATCTGTTATCCTATTATTGTCATAAGTATCATGAGATGAAAGGAGTTGAGTCAAATGTTTGGAACAGATAGAGTCAATGCAACTTAATTCAGGAAAGGGCCATATTTCCCTTTTCCCTCTGTCAGGCTGCCAGCCATCAGCATGAGCGTTCCCTCTCACAATCTGTTTGTGTTCCAGTGAGTAATAGCTTTTTACTGGCCTGGAAAATGACTGTCCCATTATTAGGAAAGTGCATTCATGGGATCGAGTGCCTTTTTGAATAGTTAAGTACATTGTGTCCTTTAAACAGGCCAGACGACTTCAGATGAAACCTTTGAAACTATGGCCAATCTGTTGGAAAGTTAGAAATATAGTAAATCCAGTGCTGAAATCTGGCATATTTATGAGCTACTCAAATATACAGCCACTTGAAATGGTTTGTTACTTAGTGGAATTTATGAGGGGTATTTCTTCCCAAGAACTAACGTTTCCAATAAGTCATGTGCATTTGTGATAGATGGAAAAGAAGGAAAAATAATAACATGAGGCATAAATTATGTCAAATTGGACACAGCAGTGTTTTGTTTCACATCTATATGAAAATATCCCAAATCATCATAACAGCTATGAACATGATTCTCTTCCCAGTAGCATCAGGGCGAACTGGGAGTAAAGCAACTGAAATCAATAAATGCATTTGAATGGAAAGCTATGGTAAATACTAGGGTTATGGAGCTTACTGGTTATAAACATATGTTGGCTAAAACACATATAAACATTCATTTACATGAGTCAGGAAGTGGAAATGATAGATAGCAAGTTTTCCTGATGAGACTACCCTGTTTCTTACAAACAACTAGAATCATAGAATAGTCAGGGTTGGAAAGGACCTTAAGATCATCCAGTTCCAATCCCCTGCCATGGACAGGATACCTCACACTAAACCATGTCGCCCAAGGCTCTGTCCAATCTGGCCTTGAACACTGCCAGGGATGGAGCATTTACCACTTCTCTGTGTAACCTGTGCCAGCACCTCACCTCACCCACGGTAAAGAACTTCTTCCTTATACCTAGCCTAAACTTCCCCTGTTTCAGTTTGAACCCGTTACCCCTTTTCGCATCACTAAAGAAGAGTGGACTAAGTTTGCTGCCTCCAAAGCTGATTCATAAGGTGTATTCACTTGATCTGTGTGAAATCAGAATTTATTTTGACATAATCATTAAAATGTTATACCCATGCTAAAAATAAACTTAAGGGAATGGCTGGAATAGTGACCTGGAATTTACACACCAGTGTAAATTGTAAATTCTAGTGTTGAGTTGGAAGAATCTCATTATTCAGCCACAGAATACAGAACTGCAGTGTTGGAGGACTGATTGGACTATTTTTCATCTCTTACTGGTTAAATCTGTGATCTACACTAAATTACTTTTTTATGTTGAAAATCAAACAAAAGCATTGCAGATTTCATATATACAGCACCTGCTGATCCCTCTTGAGTGAATGGCCTGCAGGATTTACAATTCTAATAACAGGAATCTTAAAAAGGAATGATAGAAAAGGTGTATTGTTTGCTTGTTTGTTTGACAGCCCCTTATCTTCCTTTAGAAGCTGAAAATGGAAAAAAAAAACCCTGAAACTGAAAAGCAAAACAAAAAATGCAGCCAGCCTTAGATAAAATAGGGAGAACGTGGTCAATGCCATCTTTACTCCCTAGAGAAATGTGTTTAGAGCTTAATTCCCATCCACATCTGTTTCAAATACATCAGTTGTGGTCTTACCTCCTCCTCCTCCTCCTGCAGTTAATATAACTGGAGAAACCTTTCTGGTGAATGTGCTTTTCCCACAACTTCCTTCCTCAGGATATTTTATGGGTTACAGTTGTAGCTTTAATATCCTTCTTGCTCATGTTCCCTTTAATTACTGTTTCTCCATGGTGCAGCTGCCAGAAATCAATGCCTTAGCACACTTAACACGCTGTAAGTGACAAACGGGCATCACAACTTGTGTGGGAAGGTAAAGGGTGACATCAGAGAAATCTTTTGACTGGGGTCTTCAGCTTTGTAAGAGGGTGCTAGTAAGGTATTTCTGAATTGCACAATTAAATTAAAGCAAAATGAGGAGTGAAAGGGGAAGCAGGAATTTGGATCTATCTCTGGGCAGTAAATCTGAGGAGGTCAAGATTGCAGTTTGTATTTAGCTACTGCTTACCAGGAGATATATGTTATAAAAGGGTCTTGAAATGGATGCTGTAACTTAGATGTTTATTCTATAATAACTAGGGCAGGAAGTACAATACAGTTTGCTTTTACGGACCCATGCTCTCAGTCTCTTAGGTTGTATCTGTGAAATTAAACTGAAGGTTAAGAAATGATAATTCAATTTCTTACTTTTAGGTTTTTTATCCATCCAAGAAAAATCAGTGATGCATGTCTAAATCATTGACAACAAACCTAGTAGCACTAGTATAAAAACCTCAAAACTGGTTCTTGCAATACTTCTTTTGGTCATTTCATCATAGGAAGAAGGAGGCCAAGGTATCTGAGTGAGAAGTTCTCCTATCAGAACTGAAAGAATTTGTCAGAGAGCAGCTCTGCTCAGCTCTGCTCAGCTCTGCTCTGCTCAGCTTAAAGCACATTGATTTTTACTTTTCTCTGAAGCCAGACATGAAGCTTCTTTCCTAACTGTTTTGATGGTCCTGTCTGGTTTCAGACATATTGTGTAGCAATCAGTTTTAGAAGCTTGATAAGAAGCTTACAAAGAAGTAAGTTTCTTAAAAAGTTTTACATCTTCTTTCCTTCAACTTTATTCAGTTTCCTCTTCCTCTTATATCATGACTAAAACCTGAGTAGTAATGGCAACAGGTTGATCTTTCATCAGTCTTGGAGTTATATGCCTTTATTTTTTACTGATTGTCTTAAAATGGTATGAAGTACAGTAAGATAATTATTTTTAATACTTTTAACTTAATATTAATTCTTATTTTAGCCTCTAAGAATCTGAAGTTTTTAGATGCATTAGTCCCAGGCCCTCAGTAAATATGAAAATAAAATGATGAATGATGATAAAAGCCATGGAACAACAACAAAATCTTCTAGAAATACAGAGAGAAGGTTCAGCTGTTGTTTTGAAATCAGTTGTCCGATTACTCATATCATAAAAGATAAGACCAGCAAGCATTTCAATCATTATTAATTTCCTCTGCTGTTTCTGATGCCATATATATGCAAGATTCATATTCAGATCAGACTTGGGACAAGAAAATTAATATTAGCAGCAAATGTGAAAATACTCATCTAAAGATGCCGTTAACTAAAGGATGGGGAGGAGGCTGTGCATCTTGATGTATTGCTGGCATACAATGTTCTCATCAGACTGGCTATTTTCATATATGCCACACTCATAGTTTTGATCACAGTCTTTATCTACAGATATATATATGCCTTTTTCTCTTTTTCTCCTTAGGAAGTTGGTTTGATTTTCATAGGATTTGTTCAGACGTCCTGCTGGCTTTATTGAGGTAAGAGCACTAGATGTGGACAATGTATGTTTTAAAAACTTGTCATCAAATTTGATGTAAAACTGAGTACAAAATCAACTAAGAATTCATTGTTTATGGATGACTTTGTTGTGTGGGAGAGATAGGTTGTGTGAGAATTAAAAATGTCAAATGAAAGGAGTGGATAAAGCTGTTAGTGTGGTACAAGCAGGTGAGCTGATTTTGGAGGTTATGGCACAGTTTATGTACGCCAGCTAAATTGTTCGAGTACCATCAGGGTACTCTTGTGTACTGTGTGCACCTGCAGACTGTGAGATAGGGAAGGATGGGGTTTCCTTATCCACTACCCATTTGTATGTCGATTGCTGCTCCACTCCCATTGTACTGACCAGATTGTCAGCACAGTCAGGCCATGCAGGTGTGAAAGAGCTGCTCAGCTGATGAGTTCAATGGTAAAAAAAGAAAACAAGTGGAAAACAGTACTTTTGTTTATTTCTCTTGTTAAAAACACCACCTCTCCCGTCTTAGCTATTAATCTTGATATGGTTTTGGTTATAACTTAAGTGATGGAATTCTTTTGATATGCATATGGATTTGTCTCAGGTTCCTTTGGAAATCATCACTCTAAACTTCTGCTAGTTTTGCCATCTTGGGTACGGGGAGATCTTGTAATGGTTTGGCAGGCTTTCAGCAGGGTCTGCTATGTGTTGCCTTGGACAGTCCACTCATCTTTTCTGATAGATACTATTGCTATAATACCCATGTCAGCTAATTTGAAAGACATATGGTTTCCTATGTGCCGTATTTTCACTAGCGGCTGGATTAAAGATGGCATTGGACATTTCCAGCCATGAAAGGAGATAAATGGTCAAAATGTTCAAACACTGTCATTGAAATATTAAAGCCAAAGTTCAATCTGACTGACTGTAATTACCAGCATGTGGTTTGATATCCCACGAATAAAATGGCTGAGCCAAGTAAGATGCAGATTAGTAGAAGTCAATGGCGTATTTTGCAGTGAAACAAAACAGGCTTCCATTCTCTACTACATAGTTCTGCATGAATGAAGTGCGAAGGGGACTACTATAATTTGCTTACTTGTTAATTACTCTTATTAGTTTCTGTTGTTTCATGATTGCACTGAAATAACTTTGAAGTCTTCAACCAGGCTGAAGCCAATCTGTGAATTTCACACAAGCAGAAGGATGATGTATAACTACAGTCCTTTCCTGCAGAAAGCTGGTACTGCCATTCCAAGGAGTCAGGAAAAGGGGTTGAGCAGAATTCCCTTTGCAATACAAAAGAAATCAAACAGAAACAGGAGACTGGTTTGAATATTAAGGCAATGTTTTAAAATACACATTTTTACTTCACCTTTCTGGTTTGATTTTGGTGTTTTTTTGGTGTTTCTTCTTATTATTATTATTTGAATTGTAATCTATGTTATAATCAAAAATTAGGTTTTTATAGAATTCCTGGAGCTACAGGTTTTAGAAAAAAATGCAAAGAGATGTAAGCAATAAAAGTAAGAATATTTAATAGACAAATTAAAGACATAGCTTCATATATACTTACAATGGAATCCAGGATTTTATTATCTATGTGTTATCCCTATTTACCCATGTCTCCATGATGGTACTGAAATCCTTTTTCCCTCCACCACAATATTACATTTTTGATAGAGCAATATCATATAAAGGGAGAGGAGCTTCCTGAGTTCCATATTTTCTCTTATTGATTGCCATGTTTTTTTGCTTCTTTCATGATGCATTCCAGATATGTTTTGCATTAAGTCATTCTTTATGACCCTGGATAAAATTGCGCAACTCTTTCTGTTGGCTGGTTGTTTCTCCATCATTCAATAGAAGAGCCATTGAGAAAAATGTGTAACGTGCCTGACATTTAGATATTTTAGTAGAAGAAACACGTGCTATAGCTACCCATCCTGTGAACATATGTGGAACAGCTTATGTGTGGTATAGAGTGTCAAGAATGAAATCCTTCTGTTTAGCTGCTGCATATGCAAGAGATGCAAGTATCTGCGGTACAGACTTTCAGGGTGGCATATTGTACAAGTGTGATTGTCACTATGGCCTTTCTAATGTAAATCCCCAAAACATGTTGTGATGCTGTTTGGAGCTTTTACAATAGGAGTCTATCTCTCATGTCCAGCCTCTGCTGCCTCAGCCTGTCCTGTTGACAGAGGACTTATGGCTGCTCTGACATATGCTGCTAATATCAAGCTTTTAAGGAGCTCGTGCTTGCAGACCTCAGCTCCACTATATCCCTCACACAAACTACACAAAATCCCCCAGTAGAAAATGGACAGAATCAGCATTATAGGGAGTTTTCTTCAGTACAAATGTGTCTAAATCCAGCTACTTTACACTTTCTGATCAGAACAAAGAGGATGAACTAGAATCTGGCCTGAGGGTCTTTAATATTACATGAATTCAAGTTGTGAAAAGGCTTTGTGAACTGATACCATGAGACTACAACCAATTGTGCAATCTCAGCTACCCTACAATGCCATACATATGCAAAGGGTCTCTAGTCTGATACAAGGGTGGCTGATGCCCAGTGCTGTGATATTGTCTTCTCTCTATTAATCTCTGCAGGTTGATTTTGGCACAGTCTGCTCTGTACCCTGAGATCTTTGTGGCTGGGAAAAAGTTTGGTTTGTCTTGCAAAACTCACTCAAGGCATCTCAGACTTTGAAGAAAAGGGCAAGCCACTGCAATGACTTTGAAAGACCAAGGTGGAAGGAGATAGTGTTTCCTGGAAGGATCTATCCAACTGTTTATTAATGCATACAAATCAGGGCAAAATGCTGCTATTCACTAAGAATGGGAAAGAACCATCGGCTGAATCCTCTGGGTTGCTACCTCCTTTCTTCCTGATCTGCCCATGGGTATTTCAGAGGTTGAATTGAATAATATACTTCCATTAAGCTGTAAGCCACACTTCATTGCTGTCCATCTGAAGAATTGAGAACTTAGTGTTTAGTTTAATATCCCATTAGATCATTTACTTTATTCAGAAGCTTCCTTTCCTAAATATTGTCATTCCCTGCAAACAGGAGCCTGTCATCACCTGCTCTCTACTTGTTTGCATGCTGATAGCTCTTCTCATAAATTCCATTAATTAATGAATAGTCAGCAGGGAATTGTCTCCTCAGGCTCATTAAAGAAATGGACACTAAAATGATATGAAAGCAGCTGCCTCCTTTCTGTCATTCCCTTCTGACGGATATTGTTTTCCTCATCAGCGCTAAATTATAACACTGCTTTGATTACAGGTCCGGTTACTTGCTGCAGCTGCATTTGGAGATGGGAATCTTAACTACGTAGTCATGTTTAATTGATATCCTAATCAAACTGTTAACATAGTAAAAAAAAACGCAGCACTTCAATACATCAAGCTTGTGTACGTATATTAAATACTGCTGGATGCTTTTTTGACCTTGTAGGCAGATTGAAAAGACATGTTGTTTCTTGAATCTTTCTAATAAGCCACTGATTATTACCTGTGCTCATTTGGGAACCAGAAGCATAAATCTGTGCAAAATCTAAGGATCCTAAACACAAATGGTTTTGATCCCCATTGCAGGGCCTAAATGTGAATGTTCATTTCTGTGCTGCAAAAAAAAAAAAGATAAATGGTTAGAAATTACTTATCTTAAAGCAGAGGATGAGATCTGAATTTCACCTGAATTTTTGTAGTCAAAAACTGTTCTCCATCAAAGAGTAAATCTAGGTTGGGCAGATAATCTATATCACTATTATGTTATAGATTATTATATGTATTAATTATATATGCTATATATTATTATATATATAATTAAAATTATATAATATTTTATATTTTTATATTATAGATTATCTTATATTATGAAATTTGGAAGATGTTCTAATTTGTACAAGGAGGGTGGTTGAGCCAGACCTGCCTATATACACAATTGTATGTAACGTGCGTCAGATACAGAGTTTAAATTCTAACTCATCCCTTGCTGTTGAAAACTTATTCATAGACCAGACCACATCAGGACAGGCTCCTAACACTGCTGAGACATGCTGACTCTCTGCTACCACAGTCTTTAAATAAGAGATGCCTTGTAGTTTTGTTGTTGTTAAGCATTGTTGTTAACTGTGTCTTTAGTGGTTAGCACTTGCACTCAGATTAAATCGGATCACTTACTGAGGTCTAGGGCCAAGTGAGAGATTGGAAACAAGTAAAGGGGGAAAGTCTTTGGTCTGGTGCTGAAAACCAAATTCAAGTTCAACCCAAAGGAAAGAGAAAAGGGGAAGAGGAAGAAATCTTACAGCAGTCTTTCAATACCTTAAGGGGGCTTAAAAGAATTCCAGAGAATGACTTTTTACAGGTTCTCAAACACAGTTCTCAAATGAACTTAAAGGGAGTGGAAAACGTCAAATCTCTTTGTCTTCCTGTGCATGAAGTTGCATTCCAAGACTGCATTTGAACTTTCACTATCAAATGTAATCACCTTTTGTTGACAAACCCCAAACTTTCAGATTCAAATGTGTTACCTTATTAATACAATTAAAGAATCCTTGCTTCGCCTTGAAAACTGCTCAGAGATTTCCATTAGATGTTTCAGATTTTGTGAAGGGTGAATCTAGAGTTGTTGATTAATCTACAGTTAATCGGGAATTTAAAATCCTAATTATATTTCAAAGGAAGATTAACATTTGAAGGGACTCTCTCTGTTATCTCCACTTTCTACATTGTTGGAACATTGTTTGTTTCCATATTGTTGCATTCGTCAGCATGGGCACGCACCACCTCAACTGTCTTAACTAGGAGATCTGGTCTAGATTCAACCTATTTATAGTAGCACTTTTGCTTAATTTTTTTTGAGCTTCAATAGCTAAAAAATGGATGATTTTTACTAAGTTTGATGTGTGACCATTACTTCTTATAGAGACCAGTAAAAGTGGGTTCAGAAAAACCCTACTTGAGACATGTGTTGATCAAATAGGGGTTTTATTCTCCTGTTGTAAACATCTTAAATCATTCTGCTGCAAAGAGTCTCAGCTTTACTATTCCATTTGCACTTAGCAGAGCAATTTGGCCTTTAAACTGAAGCAGCTGGACTTTTCAATAGTAGTTAGAATCCCACTCTCCCCATTCAGTTCTTCAATGCAAATGTTCTCAGGTTTTGTTGATAGTGCTGTATCCTGTTAAATATTATTACCTTGAGTAAATAACCAAAAATATTTCATTTTTTCTTTCAAATGCTTAAGTTCTTTCTTTCTTTGATAGCCTGTGATGGCAGTGTATGTATTAATTGAATAATGTCTCCCTTTGAACTGTGGCAGCAGTGAATAGATCTTGGTAGCTTAGTACAACATATATATCACATTTTTCTGCAAGTCTGTGGGGGATTCACATCTGGTTTAGGATTATTTAGAAATGTCACAGCTCTACCATAAAGAAAAGTATAAAAACCATTCTCTGTAACAGTTTGTAACTGGGTCCAAGTGTGGCCATTTCAGCTGCCTTAAATTAGATGAAATCAATTTGAAACCAAGAGGATTGTTCATGGGCATGTTATAAAGTTCATGATGCAAATTCAAAGCTTCCAGTGACTTGAGTGGGTTTTAGCTGCAATTCAAATAGGGGTGGATTCTAAAATGAAACACCTGTTATTCTTGAGACCTGGTGCACATCTATTAATTGTTGCAATGGTTAGCCTTGTTTTTATCTTTTTAAAGACATTTTAGTAACAATTGTGTTCACTAGAGATGTTGTAGCTATGCAATTCCTTCAGACCTTTCTTTTGCTGAACAGAAGTCTCTCGAAAACCGTTCTCTAATTCAAGGATCCGAAAAGATAAACTGGGTTTATCAATTCATCTCACATAAAGAGCCTGGTTATTCAGTAGCAGAAGTGCTTTTAGCAGTCAGGGAGGTTAAATATGGATTTATCCCATGTATAGCAAAAATTTTATCTATTTTTAAACCTTTCTTTTTTTTTCAACACTCACATCTCTTTTTGTGTATATTGATCTCTAAGCTTCAAGTTATTACATGATTTATGCCTCTAAGGTAATTCATTATTTATAACATCTATTTCTTGTTAATTAAAATGTGCAGTTAGCTTAGTATTTGACATCATTGTTCAATTAACTCAGTAGATCCTTTAAAGTAAAAGCCATGACGTGATCTTCCAATAACATTACACTTGATGCTGTTGTTACATACCAACGACTGTAATGTAATAATAAAACAACAAAAAAAGTGGGCATCCATTACAGAGGAGCCAGGCTCTCTAGCTGCTAGTAAGGACCTGAAGACAGGAGAGGAGGGGAAATTCCTAGATATAAGATCTGTGTCCACAGTTACGAAGAGAAGGAGCTTGTATAAAAGGAAAAGCAAAAAATCTCTGATGAATTTTTACTTAACCATACAGGCAGATAAATCAGTGTTTTGTACCACTGGAAAAAAAACCTACTTTTTTTTCTGACACAAGAGTGAAGAGTAACAGTGAATTAACCTGAGCTGGGTTGTTTTTCATTTAGAAATGTGCAATGTATAAATCTATAACTAATGTGTTTTGATTGATGTGAGCTGTAGTTAGAACCCTACTGGAAGTCCTGTGATGAAAAAGCTTCTTCATCTGTGAGTCACCGCCTGAAGAGCTTTGCTGCTGGGATTATTGACAGTGGTTGACAGCGTGGTGAACTGCAGCTATTTCCACTCAGTCAGGAACCTGAGATTTTCCCAAGGCAAAGAACGAGTTTTCCTTTTTGGACACACTTGGTATTTGTGTTGCCTTGGAGAATATGATAAAGGAAACTTCTGCAATACAGATATAATGATATTTGGAGGAAAGAAACAGGATGTTGACTTTGGTTCAGCAGTCTTCAAGAAGCCTTCAATAGATTCAGGAAATTACTGACATCTTGGACCTCTTCATTGGATCTTAGGATGGTTTGCATGGAAGGGACCTTAAAGCACATCCAGTTCCAACTCCCTGACACAGGCAGGGACACATTCCAGTAAACAAGGTTGCTCCAAGCCCAGTCCAACCTGGCCTTGAACACTGCCAGGGATGGGGCAGAATTGTGGTTTAAGCACAGATAATAGCTAAGTACCATGCAGCAGCTCATTCAGCTCCTTTAATTCTCAAGTATCAATTTGTTTATTGTGTTTATTAGAAACCAAGAAACACACATCTTATGTATTCATTGCTCCGTGTTTAAGTAATTATTCAGCAATCTAAATTAGTGGAAAAAGACTACCATGTGAGAAAAGGTGAGTGTGAAGATCATGTAGTCAGGTCATTATTTGCACTAATTGCATTATGTGGACTAATATTCTTTGTAAATGAAAGTGGCACCAGTTCCTTGTCTCTTCATGCAGATCATTCTATGTTACTGTAATTTCCACATGTCTGAACGAGGAAGTTTATTTATATTTGTATGTAAACCATGCTCTCATCTTCAGGAAAGGAAGTATATTCTCATTTATATAGACTCCACTCTCATTCGAATTCATACAAACAGATTAAAACAAATAGCAAAAATCTATGTTATGTAAGAAACAGTCAAGAGGTGAGACATTGTTTCTAGCCATATTTTGAATCTAATTCAGAGGTTCCTCAAATTAAATGGTCTTATTATAGATTTCACTTTCCAGTTTGGATTTCCTATTATGATGATCTTTTTCAAAGCACACCACCAGTACATGAGATCAACATACTTACAGAACTATACTGGGGTACAGTGCTTACATTAGAAACTCACATGGCACCCTGATTCCTTTCTAAGAGTATATATTAGGTAAATATACAGTAAGTTTAGTCATGAAGGACAATAGGAAGATGCTGCCTTGCAATGGATTAGACCTGAAGCATACATAAGTTACTGCAAAAACAAAGCTTTCTCTCACTTCTTACGTAACTCCAGTTAATCAGGACTAAAATGTCCTATTGTGGGTATGAAAGTACTATTTACCCAGATATTAAAGAATGCTCTGACTGGTCCTTTAAAGCAGAAGTTCAAATGAAATCACTGTCAAACCTGACAAAAAAATATTTTTAAGCTCTTCAGGAAGAAGGAAATTTGAAACTTTAATGGTTGGAATTGGTTTGATAAATGGCACTGTAGAAAGGACACGCAACTGTTGAACAAGCAAATAAACAGATATGCCTCCCAAACTAGATATGAAAACAGCTTCACTACCAAGGAAAGGCATCTAAAGGCTAAGGAGTTTCCAAAGCCATGAATGTGAGCAAATATGAACAGAAAGAATTTAGGGTTATTTGGGATTATCACAGCAGCCCAAATAAAATGGATTTTAATGTTGATCTGTTTTTTGTGAGATGCAAATGAAACACACAAAGATGCTTTAGGGAGGATCAGATTTAACAGCTCTGAAACATTGTGTATTTAAAAGCATAACATAAATTTTAATCATCATTTCCATATGGGAAGTTCTGTGGATGGAGCTGCAGAGCTCACAGTAATACAGCTATTTATGCCAGTGTTTGCGGCACTGGGGCTAACAAGCAACGTCTCACAAGGACAGAAGGGAAATGTACTATAAACACTGGGATCAGCACCATGGTAAAATGCTGACTTCCATCCCCTCCTAGCTTTCATAGACAGCAGCCCTCTGGCTCCTTTTCTGTAGCACATTCTGTCCATGATTTGTTATGGAAGTTCTGGGCTGTGTGGGATTTGGGAGAATAAATGTAGAAGACAATACATTTGCTGTAGTTTTTCTACAGTCATAGGTGACAGGACTTGATGATGAGGTGATAATTTGCTTTTTTGTCTGGCCACTAAACCCACTACAATACCTTTAAGAAAATGACTCCTAAAGAGATCTTAATGAACCAGCTGAAAATTTACCATTATTGCAGAATCATAGAATCATAGAATAGTTAGGGTTGGAAAGGACCCTAAGATCATCCACTTCCAAGCCCCTGCCATTGGCAGGGACAACACACACTAAACCATGTTGCCCAAGGCTCTGTCCAAACTGGCCTTGAACGCTACCTGGGATGGAGCATTTACCACTTCTTTGGGCAACCTGTTCCAGTGCCTCATTACCCTCAAAGTAAAGAACTTCTTCCTTATATCCCATGTAAACTTCCCTTGTTTCAGTTTGAACCCATTACCCCTTGTCCTATCATTACAGTCCCTAATGAAGAGTCCCTCTCCAGCATCCTTGTAGCCCCCTTCAGATACTGGAAGGCTGCTATGAGGTCTCCACGCAGCCTTCTCTTCTTCAAGCTGAACAGCCCCAACTTTCTCAGCCTATCTTCATATTGTGGGTGCTTCAGCTCCGATCATCCTCATGGCATCCTCTGGATTTGCTCCAGCAGCTGCATGTCCTTCTTATTTTGAGGACACCAAAACTGTACACACAAGTTTCTTGTTACAAAGACTTACTTTGGAACAAATGATGTTGCACTTTAAACCTCTACTGAGTAAGTAAGTACTCAGGGAGGGTCTTGAACAGTGGCTGGAAAAAAATAAGCCAAAATTGAATTACTTTTTCCTCTTTCTACTTAGTCTACTCAGCTTTTAAATACAGGATCTGCTGGATGATAATTCATTGACACAGTTTATTATATTTTCAAATTTGGGGGAAAAAAGTAAAGAATCACTGCATTTCAGACAAGGTATATTTAGCAAACACAGCTTCCCCTGGAGCTTTGTACTCCACATAATTACATTCCCCATACAGTAATTGAAACTTGCGAATACGTCAAACTGTGTGTTTTCACAAACCAGCAGTAATCAACTCAAATGATTTAAATTCACTATTTGACAAAATTGCTATAAATATGACAGAAAAAAAAAGATATTTCTGGGGTGTATTGCTTCATGACTATATCAAATGAGTACCTAGGGAGAGTAGTGCATTGTGTTCCTATGTAAATCTGCAGGATAGCAACAGTCAGTATACCGAATTCTTGTTTTTTCCAGGAATTCTATTCAAGTTTACTAAAGGATTTACTGAAATGGAAGGGAAAGCTCTGTGGACCATCCATGTACATCTCTGATTCCAAAATTACCATCAAATCAAACAATTGGAAACTGCTGGCCAGAAGCTCAGCAGCCTTCAGCAGGAATAGCTCCACTGAAGTCAGATAAAACAATGCTGATTCTTACCAACAGAGAATTCAAATTGCACTTCAAGGGGGCATGCCCATGCTGCTTGCCCTGCATTGTTGCAATAGACTTGTCACCTCCACAAAGACTATTCTAAGACAAGCGCTTGTACTATTTGTTGTTCATTTCATGTGTGACAGAAATGGCTCTCAAGGGGTTCATGAAAGCCAAATGCTGATTGTAGTTTCCAGCCCTTCTCAGCCTTGGAGATGCCATCAGTCCCTAAGAAAAAGATTACTCCAACACGTTTTCTGTGCAGATTGAAAGGAAAAGGAGAGGGCAGGGGGATGGAATCGGTCTGGGTGTCCTAAATTGTTGTTGGATGTTTCCTAGCATAAAGTTGAGGAGTTCATTCATCTCATCCTGACAGAAAGGCACACAGTATATTAACTGATAATGTGTACCACTGCTGGTGAAAAGAATAAATGGAGTCAGTGCAGGAAATATGCATAAGGAAACATTTGTACAGTGGTGTTAGGAAGCAGAGAACTTTCCAGGGGTCTTTTAAAACATCTCAGTTCTATCTACTCTTTGATAGCCTCTGGAGGTAGGATGAATCAAAGAAGAGGAAAGGAAAAGCAGAAAGCCATGCAGATAACTTTTCCATCCCTTTAATTACATGTGTGGATTAAAAGGTAAAAAAAAAAAAGGTGAAAACGCAGATCCTGCCACAGTTGCATTGCAGTTGTTAAAGAGTAATGCAGCCGCTAAACATATATAACTGCAGCAGGAGCAAGAGAGAAGGAACAAGATTTAAGAGGGGGGGGTTATCTCTTAATTCATCCCTCTGACTCTATAGTACAAGGCTGAGTTTAAACTTATTCACTCATCTTTTCTGTCTCTGTAAATTCCCTCAAAAGTCAGAACTCCCTGTTGACATTCCCTGCAGTGATGCACTAAAGTGGCTGGATGTAGAGGAATATCTCAGACAAAAGAGCTAACTCGTTTATCGGTATTTTTCTCTTTAGTATTATTCTCTTAAATAGAAATATTTTGTGTTTTTCTTCTGCAAACAGACTGATCTGCGCTTGAATATGTATGTGCAGAACCACAATATTTTATCTGAAAAAGTAATCATATCTATCCTATATCTAGCTTAAGAAATGATACAATGAAAGACATAGCTAAACACCCCAATTATGAATCATGTCTCACTGATTCAGCCTGTTTCTTCAGTATGAGAAGCATCGGCCTGGCAAATCAACACAGAGCTTCTTCTAGCTGCAGAATGGCCACTTGAGCTGTCCAGTGGCATCTAAACAGCTGAAGTTGAACATAACCAAATGTTCTTTTTAATCAGTGCAGTGATTTAAACTGATGTTGCATTCATCCTCTGTTCAAAGCTTAGAGTCTGAGAAGAAGCCTTAAGCTATGTTGAGTGTTGAGACACAGGAAGAATTTTTCACAGAATTTACACAGGATTCAAAGTATTCCAAAGAGTTGATTTAATTAAAAAATTATATTTATCACTGTGTAAGATTATGAGATACTTGAACCGACTGAAAATGCAGTAAATCTCGGATGTTGTGCCTTATAATGAAGAACTGATGCACAAACCAGACTACTTCAGTGGAGGGCAGGTACCAGGGGAGTTACATCATTTCCATTTTTCAAGTAATATTCTCAGATGAAGCACATAAGTGAATGTGCCACTCTTGCATTGCATGGCATAGAATCATGGAATAGTTTAGGTTGGAAGAGACCTTAAACTTCATTTAGTCTATCCCCCCCCCCACCAGCAAGGATGTCTTTCACCAATCCAGGTTTCTCAAAGCCCTGTCCAACATGACCTTGGAAACTGCCAGGGATGGAGCATCCAGAACTTCTCTGGGCAACCTGTGCCAGTGCCTCACTACCCTCAGAGGGAAGATTTCTTGCTAATATCTAATCTAAATCTATCATCTTTCAGTTTAAGGCTATTACAAAGCCATTGCCCCTTGTCATATTGCAACAGGCACTTCTAAGGGTCTGTCCCCATCTTTCTTATAAGCCCCCCTTTAGGCAGTGGAGCTGCTCTCAGGTCTCCCCTTAAGGAGCCTTCTCTTCTCCAGGCTGAACCAGCCCAGCTCTCTCAGCCTGGCTCCAGAGCAGAACTGCTTCAGCCCTTGCAGCATCTCCATGGCCTCCTCTGAACTCACTCCAACAGCCCCAGGTGAGGCTGGTCAAGGCAATCAAGGGTAATTTATATTCTCAGGGTCCAGATATCGAGATCAATTAATTTAAATTTAATCAATTATCAATCCATTTATTTGTTTGTTTTATACTGATCTTTCTTCTGCCAGCAAACCAAGGGGATTCGGTTGGTAGGCAAATTTGACATTCCATGCCAGAAGAAGTTCTTTCATTTAAATATATATAATCAAATATATATGGTTGGGAACAGAAAGTTAGGGAGTTTCAGAAATCTGTGTTCTTGTATACTTTGTTGGAATTACATGAGATATGGTCTCATTTGAAATGCAGTGATTTCAGATTCCATAATGGGCATTCACAGGCAGGAATTTGACTGCTTGATGTCTCCTCCAATATTGTTTTAGAAGCTTACACCCTTAATTGAGGTTAGCCCTTCTGCAAGTCCACTGGCACAGAAAATGAAGCATGATTGTTGATATTGCATGTGTACTAGCAGCTGCTTTCAGAATGTATTTGTTGGACAAAATATCCCAGAACACATAATCCTGGGATAGTTTAAATTTCAGAAAACAGTAAGAAAGTCCAAAATCATTTTAACAAGACATGATTTGCATCCCCCCATTCTCCCTAGTCACAAATAAACAGCTTATTTACAAGAAGGCTTATTGCTATTAGGGTTTCATGTTCTTTCAGAATTAGAATGTAGCTTAACAAATAGATTTGTATCAGTGACATGAGCTAATGGTCGAGCTATCGCCTGAAAATGTGACACTCCTATTAACACATCTCAGTTTAGGTTCCCTAATGAGCATTCCAGTTTATTTTAAAAGACAGTGAAAAGAAAGTTCTTACATATTAAACAGTTGCCACTTGTTTATTTAGCACATTTACTGAAGATAAACAGCCACAAGGGCTGTGTCATTTGCACAGGGTCTATCTATCCAGTCTTCCAGTGGTGTCTGTTAGCACAGGCCCATTTAAAACAGCTGCAGATTTGCTTTTGTACATGCAATAATCACAGTAATTTAATGTAATGCAGTTTACCAAAACCTTTTAACCACTCAGATTTAATGGAATCTTTATATTCATTGTTTTAGTCTTTGTACTGTTCCAAGTTAGAGCTTACTGGTAGGTAAACAAGAGCTGAGGCAAACTGGATTTTAAAATAATAGGTGTGCCTGTTGCATGTAGTGTAAAGTGACATTTTATTAAGCTATTGATGCTAAAAAGCTAGTGTCATACTGTGCTACCCGAGTGTTTTCCCGTGGTCTCCAGAATGTGCTGATAAATCATTCTTTTGTACTCTTTTCCTGAAAAGCTTTGACCACAAGAAATAGATCTGATTTTCTATTTGCTCCAGGTTTGTATTTGACTAACATGTTAAACCAAAGATTTAAGCACTGGTGTTATGAATTGTCTCATAGGGTATTCCAACTTCGGCTTAGAATATCTACTTAACTCTTTCTTGAAAGTTCTAGTTTTCCTCTATCAAAAGTGAATATTATGCAGCCACACTAAGTGCTCATAATTTGAATTACAGGAGTAAAATCTTACACATTCTTACACATTGAGTCCCTCTTACTATTCTGAATTACATCAGATTCCTGATACTCTTTGCTGCAATTATGTTGAAATGATATTCATATTGTATAAGCCAAGGGGGCACGGACAGTGTAGCTATTAGATGCTGTCTTGATACTAGATTTGGAGTTCCTGGTTCTTTCACACTTTCAACTTGATTGGACTGATTGGAATCTGGGTTACCTTTTGGTATTTAATGACTCTGGTCTTGTAGACCCAATGCCAGGTCTACATGTATGACAGGATATCCATTTGGAGCTTTGGGAAAGAAAAAACACATTTTCTTCCCTGAATGATCCCATTGTACCATATGAGCTAGGAGATTTATTCTTCTTATTTTCATATGCCCATCTGAGCTTTAGGGTTCCCATTTGAGTGGTTTAGAGGCTTAATATGTTCTTGTCAGAGAGGGACCAGCAGAACAGAGTAGAGATACTGATATCCTTTAACATGTAGTAGACAGTAAGTGCAGTACAATACCTAGGCAGATGAGGGAAGAAGGTCTTCTGAACACATAACATGTATAATCCTAAAGAACACTGTACGTATGTAAATAAGATTAAAACCAATACGTACACGTTCATATATTCAGATTGTATACACCAATGGGGGTTTATTTTGGAGTGTGATGTGTAATTTAGATGTCTGTATTTAAGAGTCTGACCCCATCACTTTAAAACCTAATGTATTTTCCTTTTTACTCTACAAACACCAAGTAATAACAATTTGATTTCATTTTATAAATGCTGTCACAAACACAGACTCCAACACTAATCCTTCCTTAGTGTGTTCGGGTAAAATCATATTCCTGGCTTTGAACTCAGTATGCCATGTGTTTCCGTACACAAAGTGAACAGCTCGTATGAGAATAAGTATCTCACCTGAGCTCAGGTGGGCTTTCTGTAAAGGGAACTACATACTGCTTTAGGACCACATCTAATGTTTGTGGGAGCAGCTCTTTTTTCTTTCACTTTGGAGGATGTCAGCATCTCATGAGCCTATCCTTAACCATCTTTAGGTTTTGGTTAGCGGCATTGTGGAGGTTGAGTATACAGGTATCAAAGTGCAGCTGTATGACTCAAAGAGTTCTTTTCAGGTTTGGCAGCTAATACAGGAAGGTAGGAACTGCTTAATAATCCTAACAGACAGAAAGGAGTTACGACTGTGGACACAGAGCTTCATCTGCTCAGTGTTACAAAATGTGGAGGGAGGTAAGGTGCTTCAACCTGAAATAGTATTTGTAGCTGGCTGTCAAAATCTTCCACTGGATAGTCCCACCCTGAAAATTTGCTCTTTCATGCACGTGGCCACGTGTGTAACATCTTTTTCCTGTCATTAATAAGGAGCCAGTCACACTTAAGACTCAAAAATTAATATAGGAGAAAAAGGCTTCCTATAGTGTCAAAAATTAACATGGAAAACCAGGCCTCCTAATGATGGGACATAGACCTACATTTAATTCTGTTGTATCACTAACGTTAACAAAAATATCTTAAATCTTATATCCTTATAACTGGCCTTACCTCTTATCTAGGAAATCCTAAACCCTGTTGATTCCTAGAATTTG